ATGACTCGAAAAAATCAGAGTACTTTGTGGCTTGAATTTTCCATTTTGCAAAATCAGTTTCTCATGTATACAACTTGGAAAGATTTCAGTGCTATTCCTCAGCGTCATGTTTCTAACGCTGCCACTGACGAAGCTTTTCAAACTTTATGCACATGCTCTCAGCTTGGTGATATTCGCATTTGCACATTACATGTCAACGACTTACGTGTATCTCGAGCAAAATACGGAAGATAAGGAATTAAAACTTGACACTTTCGTCAAGCTGGAACGGCATGGATTTCATTTTCTTGCACAGGTACTTGAAAATTATCTATATAAGAAATATCATTGATGGTGTCTGCTGATTTAATACTATTGGTGCAAGCTTGGTTATAGTCTTCTGCAAGTGTTTTTCAGCTCATGCTGAGCGTTGTGCAGAGCTGTGTGCTTGGTCTTGAAAGCGATGTTGGTCGTGCATTCCTCACTGTATTCACTCTTCCAATCGTGGCTAGAATGTGTGGTTTTCCTCTAGACAAACTCATCCTAGGTAACAATGCTTTCACACAAATTCCCTGCAAGATCAATATTTGTTCCAGCGCATAATGTTGCTTGCTCTTTGGTCATGCTGTCAATCTGTATTTATGTTCTCAATCGCGTGCCGGATATGGTACATGGAATGCGAATGGCCTTCCGTCAAGTGAAGGCTATCTTTGTTGTGCGCGGGCTAGCCGGAGGTATGATTTTGATTAAGTAACTGATGTACGCCTTTCACAGTCGCCTTTACCGGCACAGGACGTTAGAAGTTTGTTGCCACTTACTGGCGGAAACTCATTGCATTTTGCGGCACCCTGTGCCGGCATTGAGAACTGAAATGCGGCTTCAAAAGAGCAAAAGTGAGAGTAGACCACAGGGTATTTTTCCCTGAGATGGCAATGTCACATTAGTCGAATTATCTTTGGCGATCTTTAGAGCTACTCAGCTGTTCAACTCATGATAGGACCTTTGTTAGTCAACAGACGAAAAGTTTGAGCTACTTGCCAATAACCTCTTGACCCACCACTTTGACTGACTTGTCTGTAATTGTTGGCAATCGGTAACAAAATACTTGCACTAATGCGGCAATTTTTACCAGTCATCGTGACCTTTCTCGACCTTTCATTCCAACGTATGACTGATTTTCGGTGTTTTAATGCTAGTTTCTTCGCATTCAAATCACCTCAACCTTTAGGTTTTGTTACCGTTTGGCGTCGCTTGCGCATCGC